AGATGTCACAGGGAAATGAAACTTGCAGGATCTAGTATCCATTATGGGTCTCACAACTTGTATATCTCGGATTTTTCCTAAAGGTCATATGAGGTCAGGTCATTTTCGTGACCTCACCATTATAAGTCAATGGGGAAAAATGAAAACTGCTATTCTGGCGCCGGGGACGATCTCCAGCTATCTCAAGCACACAGAATCGTGATTTGATGCACTCCTTGCAAGGTTAGATGCGTCACTTTTGCAATGTTGACCTTGCGTGACGTCATTTATGACGTCATCAAGGTCATATTAGTTTTTCGTCAATAACTCTTGATCAAATTGAGCTAGCGAGTCGGGAAAGTCACCAATGGACTCATGAAGACCTGCCGAATCGAATGATATGCGACATAACCTCTTTCGACCAACTTCATGACCTGGGGGTGCTGACCTGACCTTGACCTGAGGTCAACACCCCAAGTTGACCTGACCCGGACAAAAAGTATATCATTCGACGCGCCTGAGCGAGGCAAACACGATGCTGCCAAAATCGGCGCTCTGCGGCCGTTTTTTGCGAAGTTATTCACCAAAAACTAAACCGTACCTTGGGGCACTTGACCTGACCTCAGACTTCAGAGGTCACCGGTTGACCTAGGACCTTAAAATCGGGTACCAATCTCTGCGTCTCGTAACGGCGCACACGCTCGTTTTTTTCCGCGACGCGCTAGCTCCACCAGGGGCGAAACGGCGAGGGGGGGGGGTCGTACCCGCCCCCCCCCTCGGCCGTCGCGTATGTAGAAAACCAATAGGTCCGGCGAGGGTTAAGTCGTAAGTAGGTAGAAGATGAGTTTTTAAATCACTATGATCATCGATTTTAGCATATTTCGCACATATTAAATCCGAATAAATGCCTGAAAGTAGTCATTGAACAGATACCTCATTCACACTGTCACTGCCTGTAAAAGACAGGTCGCAAAAAGGGAGCAAATTCCCTATTGGCGTTTTGCAAGGGGTTGCGAGATATCAAATTCTGACGTTATATGGTGAAGGTACATACGTGCAATCTAGGAGTAAATGTGTGTAGAAAATTTTGAAACAATAATGCCATAAACAGACATAAGACTTTGACCGTGCAAACGAACCAAAAGGTTGTTCTACAGAGGGCTTCAAGCTTAGAGGGTCGCCAGAGGGCGAATCCAGGATTTTCTTCGGCCATGGGTCAATGAGATAGTCTGGCACTCTGGCAGCATGTTTTTCACCGACTAGGGGCGGCAAAATGTACGAACGTCCTGTCTTACTTTCTCCTCTGAGACTTTTCCTTCCTCTGATGTTGTTTAGGAATATCGAGATTTGATATTGTTGCGGTGCTATTTGCGCTGGCGTTTTGGCGTCCGTTTTGCGCGTTTTGCGGTTTTGCGTTTTGCGGCGGGCGGGCGGTTTTTCACAATTAAAGTCCCAACCTTCGGATCCGCAGTGCTGTTCGACAAGCGCTGCCCGGGCCTATTGTTGCGGTGCTAAGATTCCTTGCTCCACAGGGCGGCATGTTTTTTTTCGGCTATAGGGGCCAGCTCGCAAAGCCCCTCCCCTGGATCCGCCCTGGGGGTCGCTAATCGGTGCATTTATCCTAATTATGTAACTCTGTAAGAGTGTTTCAAATTTGACAAGAGTGCCATAACGATAAACGGCTTTGTCTTGGAGAGGGAAAGGTCAAAGGGAGAGGCTTTGTTAAGCATTGCACTGCAGATTTTATTTCAGATTATCGTTTTATCTGACCTCCGTAGGTACTGCTAAATGCGAATATCAGCTTGATCACACTCCAAGCTTCTCATCAACGCCTTCAGGCCTTAGCTATGGATCGGCAAAGATCTTTTATCAGTGTGTGTGTCATATGCTGAGACAAAAGACTTATCTGGCTCTATATCTTGGGGCTATACGACTGGACTGCCAAGGACATGAGCCCATTTAACGAAGGCGACTGGGGGGGGGGGGGGGGGGGGACAGAATAGGTGCGGGGCCCACGGCGTCCCAAACAGCTGACTGCGCCCATCCCCGCTCGTTCCGCCCGACTGGCCGCCGCCGGGTCAAGGTCAGCCGCGAGCCATCGTCTGGAACTCGCCCTTCCCCTCCCCCTCCTTCCGCCCTCGGAAACCCGGAAACGGCGGCCGGCAGACGGTCACGTGACCTCGACGGCCGGCCGGTGGGCCTTCAGCCACAATAGGTGCATTCTCTGGCCGGCTCCCTTCACAAATTACACAGGGTCGCATTGGGTCGGGGAACAGCCGACAAGGTCGCACTGCCTAACCAGAGCAGCTTACGGACAATGAACGTTGACACGTTTCGGACAAACAGTTTACGGGGCTGTGTAATCGTATTCAGAAGCATGTGCCACGTTCGATACGTTTCGATGTTTTCCCGAGCACATTCAAGCTCTGTTTGTGATGGATATATTCGCTACGGCAGCTCTGCAGTGAGTCATTTACCGTCGGAGGTCGTATAGCTGAGTGACAGGTGCATTCTACAGTTTAGAAAGGGCAAACGTGACTGGAGCGATAGTTTTGAGGTGTGGTTACCACACATAAAATGTGTTGAAGGCGTACAGGGGTGGGGACGTACTCCTAGGCTGCATTCGCGCGTATTTTTTTTCCAAATTTCAGGGAGATTATTATAGCTTGAGCCAGTAGCATAAAATAAATGCCCACATGTATTTTATTGCGATCGTACAGTTAAGGTAGTGAGTAAGGAGTTAGTTAAGATAGTGAGAGAGGTCTTCGGAGGTACACCGTTTATAATCGATTAAATCCGTCTCATTTTCAATAATTGTTTTGCTAATGGCTTAATATTTCACAGGTTACTTTATGCTTTTAAGTCCTATATATCTTTGGATACCCTTTTATAAAAGCGCTGCAAATTATTGTAACCCGACGGCCCTTGATTTAAGAAATTTCCGTCTTTATTCAGCTCACATCTCACAGAGTCTCCATCACATAGACCCGATCACGGAAGTATTGGCGCCGGATAAGACGAACGTTCACCTCAACACGTCCGGGATGCACTTGGCCTTGGACACGGAATGCTGTAGGATTAGGCAGACCTCACATGAAGGCTGAGTCAGACAATCGCCAGAAGCCTGCTTCAGCGAAGCTGCCTACTTGCCTACTGCCTAGCTTCCACTGAGGGTGACAGCGTGAGCAGGATGCAATAAAATAACCAATAACAAGAAAAAGAGCCGTTTTACAAGGCTAAAGGAAAGTACGGTTAGTACAATGAGCAGGAAATGTCCAAAAGTCTCTCTCCAAAACATGCATTGCAAAACAATGCGAGGGCCGATAGGGTAGAGTGGGGCAAAGCGCCCAGGGCGGGTAAAACGCCCACCCCTCTTATTTGTCAAATGCTCAACTTTTCAAAGAATTCTTGATAGCCATTTTCAAGAACACGCAGGAATCTGCTTGTACTGCGTTTTTTTTTTTGGTTCCACAAATGAGGTGTTCTGGACGTAAGATAAAATATTATAGTATATTTCTGACATTTTTAGGAATGACATGCTTTCTTACTGCCTTGTCTGATGGAGATTGGAGAATGCAATGAAATTTCGCAATGTCAAACCTGAATATTTAAGCTATGCTTTGAGCATCTATTGATTTGCAACACAATTGTGACAGGCTTGATTTTGGTTAACTTTGTTTTGAATGTGCTGTTGGGGTAAAACGCCCACCTTGGTGTGCAGGGCAAAGCGCCCATCATCGGCCAATGAGAGCTATACAGCACGGGTAATTGCGAGCATTTCGGGCTAAAAGCGAGTGTCGGAATACGTTTCTTATGCTCAGGATCCTTTCCTTACTAAATATGCAATTTTCTGTTTAGTATGGTCGAAAACGATTTATTCGCAAGAACTGATCTTTACTCCCCACGGCAGTGACAGGCGTTGACTGAATAAGGAGTGGGGTGGCGGAGACTGTGTTTAATATGTTTTTAATGGTGTCATTTGTCGAGTTGAAGTCTAACGAAATGAGGAATGGATGAATTCTACATTATTTTGCCAGATTATCAAAAGTATGATGGGACGCTCAGGACTGGGCGTTATGCCCCACCCATATGGGCGTTATGCCCCACGGGTGGGGCAAAACGCCCGATTTGTAGTTCTCTCAAATCGAATGGCATATCTAAAAAAAACTATGCATGCCACATGTTTCTAGTGTGATATTCGACGAAAGTCTAGGTAATGAGCTACCAGATCAGCAGCCTGATTGCCCCTCAAATTTGTAAGATAAGGAGATATTGAGGCTGGAAAGTTAAGGTGGGCGCTTTGCCCCACCCTACCCTAACATTAGGTATTATGAAAAACCTCAAAAAACATGATGCGGTTGATGATTCCAAATACATGATTTCAAAAACACCTTGATCAACAAAGAAGACGAAAAACGGCGTCATTCATTTTCTATTGAAGCATGTCAAAACCAATCCTTAAAATTGTCCTAATCGTTTAAAAAATAAGACAAGCAGCAAAAACAATATCGTTTCAGGCAGCCTCATGGTGGATCCGTAACATTCACGGCATATAATTCCTCCCGAAGCGTCCGAAAATGACGAAATATGGTCTGTTCTTCGCTTAGGTAGCGTAGAACCTTTGCTACTAAACTTTTGATTGGAACATTTTGCATTGCATAGCTGCGCAAAAGGAAGACAAATTCGATGTTCATTATAATGTCGAGTTTTGGGAGGGGATGCCCGCACCCCGTCCGTAGCATAAGTTTTTTTCTTTTAAGTGAGCCTCGGCTACGTAGGTAAATAAATCGCTACATGTAGCCTCGTAAAGTAAAGGACGATACTACATGAAACAAACATAATTTTGTTTTACTGAAGTTGAATGAAGCGCAAGTTAAACAATAATACTGAACTTTTTATCAGCCACACGAACACATTAAACAATTCATATCGAAGGCACACTAGAACAACGATACAACGAACAACGAAAATGCCTCAAACATTTGCCACTCCTCCCTCCCTCTTTTACCCCCTATACTCACCAGCAGAGCGGTCAGCATGTCGCTGGGTGCTGATCGGGCGAGTTGTCACTCCTCCGAGCCGCCACCGGACAGAATGACGACCGGCCGCCCGCCGCCGCCGCCGCCGCCGCTGCCGCCCACGGTCGCCGCCCCCGCCGCCGCCGGGCAGACGGAAGGACACGGGGTTCTGCCGTTCCGGTCTGTCCGATCGGACCGATTGCCTCAGGGCACTGACAGTGACTGACCGATCCTAACAGCACTAACCGTGACTGACCGATACAAACAGCACTTAACCCGCGCCCCACTGGGGGGGGGGGGCTATTTATAGCCCCCCCTCTCGTTTTTCTGCAATAACTTTCAAACCGCTTGACGTATCGACGCCAAACTTTCAGTACCTTAGGCTGCATCAATTTGACACCTTGTGTCAAAATTTGAACTTCGTAGCTACCATAGGTCGGCCGAAAATGACGTCAGAGTGACGTCATGTTCGGCCGATTTCGACGCAAAACATTGAACCACGGCAATCGCTCCCAAGGGCTCAGTTTTTAAGCTAGATCCAATTTATTTGCATGGGAGGACTCAGAATAGACTGCGCTATCAAACTGCTATCTCGGATTTTCGAAATTTTGAAAATTTCGAAAATTTTATATAATAAAATTCAAAATTTATATTTTTACATTTTTTTCAAAAAGTTTTTGACTTTTCAAAAAAACCGGAATATATGTGATAGAACGCATTATTATGACTAATTCTAGCAAGTTTTAGCTAAGTATCTTCAAAAATGGCCAAGTTTTACGCATTATTGCAAAAAATTCACAATTATTAATTTTTCAAATCAATTTTTCAGCACTTATTTGACATCGTACGCCAATATAAATAGCACCATCGTGTTTCTGAGCTCAAACTGCATCCAATAGACACCTTTTTTGTTGAAAAATTTCAACTTCAAAATTTGACCTTTTTTGACCTGAAAGTGACCTGACCTAAGCTAAATTCGACTCAAAATGACCTCCAATAACACAGACGACATCAAATTCGAAATCTCAGACCTAAATGGACCATAAAACATGTGTCAAGTGACCGACTCATGATATAATATTTTCGTGACCTGTGATGACCTGACCTTGACCTGAAAATCAAAGTACAAGTTTGGTACCCTCAGGGTATCTAGAGCATCTGTTCACGAGTGTGTGATCCAAAAATGAGCCTGATCTGACTTGTAAGACGGCGGCCAGAGCCCAAAACGTGAACAAACCAAAATGCTAATAATTTTTACTTTGACCTGACCTGTGACGTCATCGGTGACCTCGAGGTCAATGAAATTAGGTTTCGCTCGACAGTTTTTCCGGGGCTATCAGACGCCGTTTGAATTTTGACGATCGGCCCAGTAGTTTCGGAGTTAGGAGGGGGGCTATGAATAGCCCCCCCCCCCAGTAGGGCGTGTTATACGCAGACCCCAGTGGGGTGCGGGTTAACCCTAGAACGCCTAGGGGGGGGGGGGGTTGTATCAACCCCCCCCCCTGAGGTTTTTTCGAAGTGCACGCTAAACGGCTTGTCGTAGCGGGCTGAAATTTTCAATACCCTCTGGGGCAACCTTTGCGCATCTTTTGCCGAAAAAAAATTGATCGGGTCATGTCAGGTCACGGAGTTATGACGTCATAAGAGGTACGGCCCTCCAGCAAAAGAGTGGTTGGTTAGCCTATGTGCTTTTGGTGTAATAACTTTGACTGACAGAGACACTCCTGTAAAATGACTCAATAGAAATGAGAAAAGGGTTCGTGCACACACTTCGGCAATGGTTTTCAACAGCCATTAAACGTATTTATCAATGCAGATCGCTTATTGTGATGTTGGCAACCAACCACTAAATACCTGGAGGGCCGTACAGCCTCCGGCCGACAGTTACCAAACGTGTGCGCCGAATCCCTAGGTTTTCTGCCGGTGATACCCACATTGTTTGATGGATCATGATGAAACTTCCCATGCATGTTGGGGCAAGCATTGGCTATCGTGTGGTGCAAGAAAATTGACCGGGTCAGGTCAGGTCACGGAGTTATGACGTCATAAGAGGAACAGCGTCCGGTACTATTTTTGAAAAGCGCCCGAACCACTATTTTGCTAATTCTTGTCACCTCAATGGGAATATGCAGCAATATTAGCTTCTATAGGGAGCAAATGGACCTCCCAAATCCGAAAATACAATCAGATTTCAAAAATTTAAATTTTGATTTTTCGAATTTCTGCCGCCGACTGTGACCTTGCCGACTTCCGGCGCTCCCAACGCGCCATTTTTAGAGCTAGGGAAACGAAATACATACCAAACGATAGAGAATTGATCAAGGAACACGATAGTGAAGGTTTCAAGTCGATATCTCTCACCGTTTTGCCGCAATCGCCGCGGAAAGTGGAAAAAAGTCTATTTTTCCGAAAATTTGACCTTTGACCGGTCAAAAGTAGGTCAAATGTTGACCTAGGACCAAAAAATATACCACCAATCGCGAGATCTCGTTGAGAGCAATCCGTTGGTTTTTTCCGCTAAGCTCTACGACCTTCCGTTTCGAAACGCCAGGGGGGGGGGTCGTAACAACCCCCCCCCCTGGTCGTTCGTGTTATGAGAAATGGCCTGGTCGTGCGAGGGTTAAAGTGATTGACAACTCCCCAAAGCACTACCAATGACAGACCGATTACCTCAGTGCACTAGCAGTGTCCAGTGATTGGCTGATCCCCACAGCACCAGCAGTGATTGACTGATCCTCCCATCACTAAAAGTGATTGACCGATCCCCACAGCACCAGCTCAGTGACTGACCGATACCCACCAGACTAGCAGTGACTGACCGTTGACCAATCCCCGTGCACCAGCAGTGATTGACCGATGAACTGCATCACTAGCGGTGACTGATCGATTCCCACATCACGGACAGTGACTGACTGACCAATGAGCTACCTTACTATAAGCAGACCGGGCCTGTGGGATCTCATCTCAGCCGCCGGGTGAACCCAGGCTAGACAACCCCTGAGTGCAGTGTGGGCTGCGTCTGATCGGGGTCCGATGGGCCCAATTCAGCGTCCCTGGGCTGCGCTCAGTTCAGTCCAGAGGGTGTCAGAGCGCCTCAGCAGTCCATGGATATGAAGGCATACCTGTGGTCCCTGGGAACATGTAGTGGCTACCCGAGCATATACCTGAACAGGTATCTCAGCATGGCCATGGCCATGCGTGGCGAGACATTTAGTAACATCTGAAGCATTTCATATACGGGTCAACGAAGTCCTCTGAGCTCAACAACTGCCATCAAGCTTCATCGAAGGCCACCTGAGGTCACTCGGGAATGCCCAGATTTACGCGAGAATGCGGGGTGATCACTCAAGCCTACTCGTTTGCGTCGAGCCCTGAGTCACCGGGGTCCACCTGAGACCGTCCGTGACTGGTCTCAGGATTCGACTGACCTCGGTTTTGACCTCGAGCTGAGGCCCGCGGCAGTCTGTCGGCCGGCCGCACTGCCATCGTCCGGAGAATGCACCGATACCGGCCCGGGCTGGACTGGACCGATATATCGGCCCTGCCCGAGCCGGACTGGACACGTTATAAACGGCTGGGCTGAATTAGCTGCACTCTGGCCGTGTTTAGCAACAAGCGTGAGGTGCTCACCACCCCTATCGATTTGAGGTTTTGGAAAAATGTATCACGGCTGGTGGCTGTATGGGTGATTATGGATACATTTCATACATATTATGAAATGTATGGGTGGCTGTGGATTATAATATGCACACTTGCTAGACTGGATTATTACGCATAACTATAGGACATAGGTGCGTTTAAACGTTCGTCGTTCATGTAACTATAACCTCGTTATTGCCGCTTGTGAGTTGTTCCGAAGAGGAATGTTCTGGGGCCGTATTCACGTCGATCATTTTCGTAAGAATTTTCTTACGCACGACCTACTTCTTACGAAAATTTGGTATTCACGTCGACAGCAAAAATATCTTACGAATAAAAAAATTGTCGTAGACAGTTTGCGATTCACGTCGACCTTTTCTTAAGAATTCTCGTAAGAATGTCGTAAGTGCGATTCACGTCGTGCCATCTTAAGAATTTCTTAAGTTTTTCGTAAGAACATAATGTTAGCGGTATGGTGGACTTACGAATACTCACCGAGCTGTCGTAAACTGACGCAACGATAAATCAGTGCAGTAGGCAAGACTAAAATGACGAATTAATTTAAGAATTGACACTAACGGTTGTCTGGACTAAGAATGGCTGTTATTATTGAGCAAAATTATTACCAGCGAGCGAGTGAAGCGAAGTCTCTTCAATAAAACGGGAAAATATCAGTATGAGCGGCCCGGCCCGGCCTATAATGCTTTTGGAGGCCTATATCTCATCAACCGCTGGACTGATTGACCTGTGGTCTTTTTGCTGGGCTGCTCCATCCCTTCTAACCCGCAATTTACTATCTTGATGCATCTAATTGACCATCGTGGCACGTGCCACGTGAGAAGTCAAGGGCGAGCCGTCCAAGCTGTTTTGCAGAAATAGCGCTTTTGAGACTACCAATTTCTCAAAGTGGGCTTATATCTCAGCAACCACTGCATTAGGACGTTTGACTTGCGGTATTTTTTTTTAGGGTAGCTGTAGCCCTTCTACTAAACATCGGGTACACTTGATTCATGTGAGTGACCACCCGCTGCACGTGCAAAGTACAAACAGGTGTCACGTTTGTTCTTATTACAATAACTCGGCAATTACCGGCCCGATTGTGTTGAAACTTGGCATGTGGGTAGGCACCTACCGGGAAATGCGTTGTCATATGTCACGGTTGACGTGCTACTGCACGTGCGCACGAGCAGGGGACGCTTCCAGATGTCGAGAACGCCTGGACCGTTTGCACTCAATTTTGGCACACGGTTATAGGGACCGGTGCGAAGGGTGCCGGGCAAAATCCAGTTTGAACCATTTTACACGTGCGCACGTGCAGGGTGCCGCTTCTACATCTCAAGAACAGCTGGGATGATTGCGCTCAAGTTTGGTCAGCGGCCAAGCCGATCAGCGGCCAAAAGGCTGGGGTCTTACGGACCCCCCCCCCAGTGGTGTAACTTTCTATACGTATGGGGGTGCAGGTGCTTCCCCATCCACTGAAAGTGCATGTCCATCAATGTCAAGAAATAAGGCACCTCATGCAGAAGTTGGGATTGCCCAGCAGAAGAGGGGCGCCCCCAACACTTAACAGTGGCGCATTTTTGGAACATTTGGAAGTCCCTCGCACTTCTGTACAGTGCATGTTTGGGGGGCTCACTCGCGCGCTGGCTCGTTTGTCGCCCCAAAAGGCGTCTTGCTGGTTTCACTAAAATGAAATGCACAAATGCATGGAGAGTTGTAGAAAAACACGGAACAAATAGTGCATGGACGCGTTTCGATTATTAAATTTTCATCAGCATGACATAACCACAAAGAAAACGAGATATCTTGTTTTCTTTGTGGGTATGTCATGCTGATGAAGATTTAATAATCGAAACGCGTCCATGCACTATTTGTTCCGTGTTTTTCTACTTGTCTCTATCAATTATATACAATGGATAGTTGTGTAAATCCCTACAAGGAGGATCCCTAAATCTCGATGATTAAGGCAAGGGTCAATGCACCAAACGCTTCTTACGAATTTCTTAAGATATTCCTACGAATTTTGACATGAATACCGATTTTTGTAGATATCCAGACATTTCGTAAGAAAAAACTTAAGAAGTGTCGACATGAATACCAAATTATACTTACGAAAGAAAATTGACTTACGAAGTCGACGTGAATACGGCCCTATGTTTGTCAATCGCATACGATCCAATTCACCGAAACGAACACTGCAGCACTCAATGCCAGGCGTGCATGATTGCAGGTGCAAGACGACATGTCCTCGCCAGAGCACGGTTTACTGTTCCGCCTGAACGTTGAACCCGTCCATGGACACAACCCGTCCGAATCACGTCCCGCCCGTTTGGCTATGGCCGCTCGAAGTTTAATCTGGTAGCTCAGGATCGCCAGACGGAAGCTTTGATCTTCCAGCACGACCACCGCAAGTCATGCTTTAGCCTTGAGAGGCACTGCCAATGTCGGCTTAGCTAAGAACAAAGTCGCTTTATCAGTCACTAGAAGTTTTAAAGCAACCGTTCAGTCAACAGAACTGGCTATGGCGAGCGTAAGGTGACGTCACTTGAGCTTAAATAATCCTGGTTTGATTTTTCACATGCTGGGAAAGGATGCATCATTAGGTGTACCAAAAACAGCGATGCAAAGGTTTTCGAGATATTCGCTGAAAACCTTAGGGGACGTAGAAACTAACAGGTTAAAATGAAGCGAGCTAAAACGCTTCGTTTCTACGCTCTCACACAATTGACGTAATCGATTCGTTATCAGCTGGTGCGAGCTCTCACGAAGCCGTCAATAAACACCCTCTGATATCACAGCACACTGTATTGGTCAACAACAGCTCAAACAGTACATCACAGAACACTGAGCGTCCCACCACCCTCCCACATCAACAACTTCCTATCGTATAACGAGCATCGCGCCCGTACGAAACGGGACTCCCCGTACACAGATCGGCCACAGCTGGCTACAGATGCATAAATAATGACTGCACCAGCCAGAATACCATCACAGTGTACGATTGGGAATAACGTGTAGTGCAGGATATATTACAAAACACGGCCGGGTTTAGCTCCATCGAGAGTTCGTGATCACAGTAAACGTCGAAAAACGTCGAGAGGTGCTGGTAGCGTTACTACAATGAACGAGAAAATATGAGTTTTACGCGTCGCATCTAGGACACTAAACATAAATTAGGAGCTCTACCTGGGTAATCTTGAAATGACAACTAACGAAACATTACATTTAATTTCAAGCACTACCGAAGAGGAGTTGATAACCACGTCTGTTGGAGGGACAATGGTTCATACACACACAATAAGGTCGCGGTAACAGTGTAGACAATAGATCAGTCACCAGCGATGGCACCATATGAGCAGATCAGAGATATATAAATGCTTCGTAAATACGTTTGACATTTGCTCCTCTGAGGTAGTCTGAAGAGTTTGAACTATGCTTCCCGTCATATAATGACATTTCTTTTCAGCTTATTTGTTCTAACTTCAGTACGCAGATCAAAAATGTAGTATGAAATAAACAAACACCCATTGTAACAATGCTGTAAAGATCTTTGGATCTTGTTATGACATTTTCAGCATTTGGATCAGGGGAAGCCGCAAAACGTACCGAATGAAAAACAAATACACCTGTCCGAAAGAGTTACATTAAGTTCGGAAAAGAGCAGTAAAAGACGATCACAAAATCCCTTAAAAAATTCAGAAAATCCAACGAGCTCGCACCCCCCCAAAAAAATTAACAATGTCCGGCAAAAAAAATCAGCACAGCAAAACATACGGTAGAGTACTGCAGTAGCCCGTCGCAAAAGCAACAGTAAATGGTACAGCACAGAACACCAACCGAAGTTATAAGACGGGCATCATCAGAAGTTAGAAGACGGGCAACATCCGAAGTCAAAAGGGCATCATCCGAAATTGGAGCACGGGCAACATCGATCACAGTTAACGGCGAGAGTGGGACGGCGTGAGCACTACGATACACCAGCACACGGTACACGTATAAAACAGTACACCTCACATCACAGGCACAGACCAAACGCCGGGAACATTGGCACAAGCGATGAACGCTTGACGTGTACCCATTGGGCATTGGCCATTCAGGATAAATTACGCAAAATACAGCTCCAGCAGAGCGCACATCCAAATGATGGCAACATTTGTTGACAAACATTCATCAGTAGATTGACAATTGCGCTCACAGATTCCACCATAATTCAATGAATTGCACCACGATAAGATCCAGATCAAACGAATAAAACTTCATAATAAATCCGATAGCTAAAATAACGCAGCAACTGCGCCATAAACCTTTCCAAAGTTTCTTCGGTCCTTCCTGACCTTTAAAACCATTACTTCATTCAAGTTTTCGTCCGAGTCAAACGAGCAAAATACACAAAATACAAATGTAGCCGTGTGTAAACATATACAACCGCAAAAAGTAAGCCGTACAGCCGCTAACAACAGTCTGAAAATGTGAGCCCAGCTAGGAACAATAGTAGAATGTATGGTCCACGATGTTTCCCTTGGAACGTCTAGGAACAGTCGTGAAATAAAGGTCCCGGGAAATAACTACGGGGTGAGGCCACCCGTATACTCTGAGCTAGCATCGGTGACATACGGAGAACAAGATGTAGTTGTACCTATCTGCACGAGCCACGGATGCACCCAGTAATTCATGACACAGCCATGCCGCATCAAACTCATCTAAAATCAGCCCATCATGATCACAGTGCCTCTCACCTCGTACCAGCTATAGGTATGCTCGTTCATTTCCCCTATCGCTACATCACGTATCCATTCCTATCCGCTATATCTTATTCTCTCCCCTCCATCACGTATCCATTTCTATCCCCTGTATCTTCTTCTCTTCCCCTCATCACGTATCACAAGTCCTGCCATCAGCGGTTGGGACGCCATCTGTCGAGCCCTCCTCCCAGTCCTCCGTCTCCTGGAGCTCCTTCCAGACCTCCCTCCCGTCCCAGCGGGCTCCCGGGCCGTCCTCCAGTCCGGCTGTCAGCGGCACCGACTCTATTCTGTCACTATCGTCCCGCAGCAGACCGTGCAGGGGAGACGGACCGGCCTCGGCGCCCACCAGCTGGGCTACCGTGGCGAACAGCGGCCGGCCGGCGGTCTCCGGGAGCAGTGGAGCCAGGGCGCCCGAGAGCAGCATCAGGCCCCCGAGCACGGCGTACTGCAGGCCCGGTATCACAGAGTCCTGGGGGACGGTCAGTATCAGTGCTGACCACTGTGGGGTATCACAGGGTAGCTGACCACAGGGTATCAGAGTCCTGGGGATATTAGGGAGAGACAGTTATAGTATTATCTACCGCAGGCCCGGTATCACAGACTCCTGGGGGACACCGTCAATATCAAATATATAGTCAATATAGTCAACTGACCACTGTGAGATGAGGGTACCAAAAGTCCTGTGTAACACAGACAATATTAGTACTGAACACTGTGAAATGAGGGAGACCTGCGGGATACATATACGGCGGGAATACTAATTACTGTGAGCACGGGTGGAACTTTGTGCGGATCTGGGAGGGCCCGGGCGCAGCAAATCCGCCGCCGCCCTAGCGGTGACCTTGACCTCCGCGGTCTGTTGCCACTCCAAAGCCAAGCCGGCGTCGAATTTGGAGAGCTGGGGCCCTCCCAGCTCGGCACAAAGTTCCACCTATGACTGTGAGTCATGAGTAGACACTAGTAACGAACCCTGGGGACATATCTTATTCAGGCAGAACAGTTCTTTGGGGCACACAAAAACTCTTAGCCCAGTGAATAGCAGACGGGTCACGTCCCTCACGGTATCCCCTCGGCTCACGGCACCCCTCCCCGTCTTACAGCACCCATCACGGCTCAGGCACGTCACCTCTTACGACTTATATCAGCCCTAACGGCTTACGTCACCTCTTACGGCTTACGTCAACCTAACGGCTTGCGTGATCCCTTACAACATAGCAGCCCCCACGGGCACCCCTCCTTACCAGTGTCACCATGAACGGGTAGAAGAGGCCGGAGAGGCGCGCCCACGCATTGATGGTGCTGATGCCGCGGTTACGCACGGACGTGGGGAAAATCTCCAGCGTGTGGACGTACACGGTGGTGAAGACGGCCGACATCATCAGCTTGCCTGGGGAGAGGGTGAGGACGCTGTTAGAGCAGAACGTGGGCAAGGCCAGGGAGAAAGATGGACATGAAAGAATATGGATAAGATTATAAAACACGGACAGAGAGTTACATAAGCACAAAGCAGGTATTTTTTTTTTGTGCCTGTGACCAGCTCTGAGCTGATAATATGCCGTCTGTTATGGCAATATCTCTTGGTGGTGTTAAGAAGACGGTTCGACGTATTTACACTTGTCGTTTGGAGAATACAAAACACCAACCATTACACGCTACAGAATGGCTTATAGTTAGTAGCCGTAAGTAATTTGTTACCTAAATCTGCCGTCGACACATCTCAAGCACACGCGGTCCTCTGCGGGTCTCCACTCTCCAGTCTTACCGAGCCAGAGGCAGGCGGTGCGTGCGCTGAGCTGGCTCCTATCGGCCGCTGCGGGCAGCACCAGCACCCCCAGACAGCCGAGAGCGCCGCCCAGGAACAAGCCGCAGAGGCAGCGGCGGCGGCCGAACCTGGAGACCGCGACAGGGCGGGCCATACTAACATACTGCAAGCAGCACCGAACAGGGCCTAGCTAGTCACGTCACGTAGAATTTCGGAACGTTAGGAAAGACCTAAGAGTAAATAAAACACCGGAAAGGTGGGATGAGGTCAAGATGCTTGCTGATAGACTGAACATACCACATACATTATACATTACCATACCGCAGGTTTATCGCACCAATTCCAAACCACGGACATTTTGGAGCGACTCTACATCAAGACATGTAAAAAACACTTCATACTTGCGTGAAAAAGAGGGGGAAAACTCGTCTACGACAAAGCACGCGGAGGTCAGGTCTCAAAGTCTGTCTGCCAGTGCCGTCATCTCACCTACCTGTCCAATATGAAGTACACCAGCAGGTGTGCCGGCAGGTCCACGAACCCGGCGATGGCGAAGTTGACGAACCGGTCTCCGCCGACCGTGCCCGTGGCGGCCGTCAGACTGTAGAAGCCTAGGTTGACCGTGAACCTGCCGTAGGACGTAGATGTTACACAGACGAACGGTTAGAGCGGGCTGGGGAGCGTCGCAGCAAGACAGAACGTGAACACAGCATAGCGGGCGAAGGCGATATTGTCAATAACTTTGTCTCAAAGGCTACAGAAACCGAGTCATGCTGCTCGGGTAGAATTAGGGAGGGGAAAAGTCAGACCATTCAACCAGCAAGCCTTTGTTAGGGATTGGTGAAGTGAAGCTCTGTCAGTTATGTTTTGTCATTGAGAAGTTACGTCAGTTACGCTCTGTCCTCCCAGAGTTCCACAAACATCAGTCAGAGAGCCAGGTGAGTTTCGTAGAGCCAGACGATCCGACTTGAATACTGAAGCCAGAAAGTTTGCTGAAAGAGCTGGAAAATCTCAATTACGAATCTACATTCAGCCGCGGAAGCAGCCCGAGCCTGTTGGTTAGAGACCGCGCGCCTAGCACTCACCAGGCGACCATCTGGATGCCGACCCAGAGAGCGCCGCGTCTCGTGCGCAGCAGCGTGCAGATATCCTCTGTATCGGCAGAGCGCGGTGACCTCAGGTCACTGAGGTCACGGGTCAGCGGTCGACCGTTCCCCGAGGCGATTGTTCGGAGGACGCGCACGGCCTGCTCCCTGTGACCGCGGACTAGCAGCCAGCGTGGACTCTCCGGCAAGTAACTGTGGGATAGCGAGACACATCAGAGTTGAGAGATCCAACAGGATGTCTTGGTAACAGCGTCGCTTTTGTCAGCACTAATTATTCATTTATCACATCACCTCTTATTTCAAAATTGCATGACTGAAAAGTGAAACAATAAATGCAAGGAAAGCGCTAACTTTTAAACATCAACGGCGAATTTTAACTGCCACTTATGTAAGTGAGAGCTAACAATAAAGTCAATATCTTCAAAGTGAAGAGGAACACAGCCAAGAAAGGGCGATAAAGCTCCAAGCGCTAGATAACGAGCGCCACTCACAGCCAGAGGAGGGGCACGCTGCAGCCGAGCGCCACGGTGGCGCCGTAGAGGACTCGCCAGCTACTGCAGACGCGCGCCAGGCCTGCCAGCACCATCAGACCGACGGAGAAGAAGCAGCCGCTCAGGTTGCCGGTAATGGCACGGTACTCGGGCCCTACCAGCTCCTGCTGCAGCACGAACCCGGCCAGCACGACGCCCATGTGCAGCGCGCCGTTCACCAGCCTGGGGACAGATAAGTACAGGGGAATGAACGAGTGCAAGAGGGCGTCTCTCTTCAAAGCGTAGACTATATGTGACCCATTGAAGGAGGTACAGATATGGCTACATTGAAAAGAAAAGATGCGCTCGGACTCTTGAGTAGAGCTGGCCAATGACCATGCATTGCAACCATAATACAGAGAAGGTGGACATAAAAGCATAACAAAGTGCAAAAGTACGGAGTACGGATCATAGGAGTATTTAATGTAAACGAGCTACGAACTACCGGGCGTGAAGAGCATAACATAGCGCACAGGAGCCAGCCCGCCGGGGTCATTAAACTGAGTGCGGCCTCCCGAACCCCTCTTTCCGTCGACATGTAAGGTTGTAAGGGGTGAAGATGATGACTCAGACTGACCTGGCCACGATGTAGACCTCGACGGAGCCGGCCAGCGCCTGTGTTCCCACTGTGAGCAGCGAGGCGGCAGACATGACGCAGACCAGCCTCAGTCGTCCGAACCGGTCCGAGAGTGGGCCCGACATCAGAGCCGAGACGACCAGGCCGAGCATGAAGGCCGACTGGGCCGAGCGGGGCTGCCAGGCGCGGTCACACACCAGCTCCCACTGCCGGCGGGAGGGGAGCAGGTCATACAGGGTCACATGGGGTCACATAGGGTCACAGGGCCATACAGGGTCGTACCGGGTAGGTAACAAGTTCACACACCAGCTCCCACTGCTGATGGTGGTGGAGGAATCAGGTCATACAGGGTCACAGAGGGTCACATGAGGTCACACAGTCATATGAGGTCATACACGGTCACAAGGTCATACAGGGTCACAATGTCACATGCCAACTCCCACTGCCAGCCACGACCAGTGGGTCATGGCTGGCAGTCACAGCGTCTCTAGGTCACACAGGGTCATACAAGGTCGCACAGGGCCTAAGGGTCACACACCAACTCCCACTGCCAGCCATGACCAGTGGGGGATCAGGTAATCAAGTCACAGTATCTCTAGGTCACACAGGGTCACAGCATCCCAAACAAACCTCAATGGATGCTAGAAGCGAGGAATGAAAGCTTACATGGTAACACAGAAGTTCTCACTAGCAACAGGGAATCAAAGGATTATCACAGGATCACCTAAGAAGGTTACAAGAACATAGTGATAATAAGGACACAGAGGGTTACACATCTGTCCTGGCTGATAACTCTGCCTCAGAACCAATCAATCAGCAGCACATCACCAGCAGACAACTGCTATAGCAGGGATATTTATCAGAATGTCAGCCACCCCCACCCCCTCACCTCAGTGACCACTGTGCTGTAGGAAGTGTTGAAGACAATGGCGGTGCAGTGGTCGGCACAGCCATCCCAGCACTGATCCACCAGCACTGAGCCGTTCACATGCTCACACTGGAAGCTGGGCTCCCAGCCTGTAAAGAGACACAGGGAAATACATGCCATACTGTCAGGGTAAGTGGTGATTATGTATGGATCAGCAAATACAGAAATAGTTGCTGTTAGGGGATTTGATTGAAGTTAACAAGCTGTACTTGAAATTTGAAAGGATTCCTAATTTCTTGCTTTATTCATGTCACACAACAATGCTATGATTGAAAGCAACTGAAAGAGAGTACAAGGACAGAGATCACAACACACACAGGCATATTCAAAATGGTCTGAGCAACCACAACAAGTCAGGCAAAATCAATGAACTGAGGTGAAAAGACCAGATGACAATGGTCATCTAGTGGTAATATCAGACCCTCAACTGGATAACTATTAACAATAGTAACAACTTACATGCAAACTGCTGGTTGAATGTGGCTACAGCAGCGTAAAAACCTAGTGTAACATAAGATATTGCCATGTATTTCTTTTGCTGAGGTCCAAACTGCCCAATGTGTGAGTATACATCATCAATATTCATATTTGCAGCAGGTGACTTATTATGTTGAAATCACCATTCAGGTGGCTTGAGAGCGTTGGAGCAGCCAAATATGACAGAACCTGAAAAATAGAATAAGCAGTTACAAACTGCAGTCAAAGCTCACAGCATGAAACATCATACAAAGAATGTTATCCATATACCTAACAACATAATGGGACCGTATTAGCGCCGGCGAAAATCACGGGACATTAGTGAAAGGGCAGACTGCGGCGACCCCTAGGTTGATGAACAGCTAGGGAGAACAACATTCGACAGATGGCAGCACTAGACGAGATAATCAGGCAATACTTTAATATTAATGGGAAAGGAAATAATGCCAATGTTTTGCCCTCACCAAGCATGTTACAACGACAATGGAATTATTAGGTATAATAAATATGTGAGTAGCAAATCCAACAAAAAACAAAATCCGTGAAAGAAAGGCAACGCTGGAAAACATCACCATAGTTTTCCGACGCCGAAAGAGTTCCTGCACACCGGCATCAGCGAGAGAAAAAACCTAGGATCCTCCTGTGGTCGCGATGGCCCCTCGACGGCGCCAAACTGCAGGTATGTTCTTGACATTCCCTGCTACCTAACTAGGTCTGTCGACGGCTTTCACCGCGTGCATGGGGATACCCCCCAGGCGCCGGGCGCCATTTTGATTTGTCTCGCCCGTTCCTCGCCGCGTCCCATGACACGCCGGTGGTGATTGCCACTTGCACCTTACTCACTCATGTGCTCGCTAGTGGCGATTCAATATAGCATACATGATAAGAGTTTGCCCACATCGCGCCCCCCCCCCCCCTAGCCGAGGCCGGGCGCCATGCGCCACATTACTGACCATTACGAGCCCTACTCTAACTGCAATCAGGTGTCTCACCACCTGCAATGTGCCTGGGGAGCAGCTCACCCCCCGGTGTGATTGCCAGTGCATGAACCTGTGACTTTCTGTACATTTATCTTGTGCCCAGCCAACCAGGATGACCTCCTCTTCCGTACCTACAATGGTTCTTTCCACCCATGTCATTGCTTGCCTGGCCCCAGTCATTGCCGTTCTTAGCCTGCCATGCATTTTAGCCCTATATACTCTTTGCTTGCCTGGCATCAATTGATGTCCATGGCCTACGCCCAATGCCCTGTCGCCCGGACGCCATCTTGGTGGGTCCGACCAGCCATTGCATGATCGTGACGTCAGCTCTAGGTGGCACTTCCACCGCTGGTAGCGCCGCGGGCGGCGGCAGCAACGATAGCTACTGATGGTCACGTGGTTGCCAGCGGCGCAGGCGCGGGCGTGTGACACTTGACCGTCCTCCGCACCGGGGGGCGGCCGGGTGACTCATCCGGCGTGACGTCAGCTGCCCTTGACCAAGGCCGTGACGGGCCTGCAGCCGGCGGTCGGACTGCCGTTGATCGGGGGTGTTGCCTTGCATCGGTCTGCACCGGCCGAATGGGGGTCAGGTCTCTGCTGGCAATGTGCCACTCTGTGGATGCACGAATGCCTGCTGATATGCTGCATTACCGCCATGGGCACGTCCACCGACCGTACACCTACACGGAACGCGCACCTATCTGACATCAGTTGGCAACGCCTGACTGTGACGCAATGATGCTTTCCGACCCGGCGCCAAGGCTGAGAGATAATCAGGGTCGGCCGACACCCCCTCCGGCGGCGCCTGTTTGCCATAGTGGCCCTGTCCCATCCCCTCACCTGTCCACTTAGACTCCCCTACAGACAACAAGGGCTGTTTGTGATAGCTGCATCTACACATACACTGCTGTCCGCGATAGCCCCACCTACAGACATGCCCGGCTGTCTGCGATAGCCTCACCTACAAAAAGGCACGGCTGTCCGCGACAGCCTCACATGCCGACATACACAGCTGTCCGCGATAGTCACACCTGCAGACGTGCGCGGCTGTCCGCGATAGCCTCACCTGCAGACATGGCCGGCTGTCCGCGATGGCCCCACATTGTGACACGTCAGGCTGTCCGCGATAACCTCACCTACAAAAGGCACGGCTGTCCGCGATAGCCTCACCTGCAGACATGCACGGCTGTCCGCGATAGCCTCACCTGCAGACATGGCCGGCTGTCCGCGATGGCCCCACATTGTGACACGTCAGGCTGTCCGCGATAGCCTCACCTACAAAGGCACGGCTGTCCGCGATCGCCCCACCTGCAAACATGCACGGCTGTCCGCGATAGTCTCACCTGCAAACGTGCACGGCTGTCCGCGATGGCCCCACATTGTGACACGTCAGGCTGTCCGCGATAGCCTCACCTACAAAAGGCACGGCTGTCCGCGATAGCCTCACCTGCAGACATGCACGGCTGTCCGCGATAGTCTCACCTGCAGACGTGCGCGGCTGTCCGCGATAGCCTCACCGGCAGACATGGCCGGCTGTCCGCGATGGCCCCACATTGTGACACGTCAGGCTGTCCGCGGTAGCCTCACCTCCAAAAGGCACGGCTGTCCGCGATAGCCTCACCTGCAGACGTGCACGGCTGTCCGCGATAGCCTCACCATGCAGACGTGCGCGGCTGTGCGCGATAGCCTCACCTGCAGACATGGCCGGCTGTCCGCGATGGCCCCACATTGTGACACGTCAGGCTGTCCGCGATAGCCTCACCTACGAAGGCACGGCTGTCCGCGATAGCCTCACCTGCAGACATGCACGGCTGTCTGCGATAGTCTCACCTGCAGACGTGCACGGCTGCCCGCGATAGCCTCACATTCAGACATGGACGGCTGTCCGCGATGGCCCCACATTATGACCCGTCAGGCTGTCCGCGATAGCCCTATACCTACATACATGCAGGGCTGTCCGCGATAGCCCCACCTATAGACATGCCCGGCGGTCCGCGATCGCCCCACCTACATACATGCTGGGCCGTCCGCATAGCCCCACCTATAGACATGCACGGCTGTCCGCGATAGCCCCACCTACGTACATGCAGGGCTGTCCGCGATAGCCCCACCTTTAGACATGCACGCCTGTCCGCGATAGCCCCACATGCGTACATGCCGGGCCGTCCGCGATAGCCCCACATACATCCATGCAGGGCCGTCCGCGATAGCGCCACCTGTCGACATGCCCGGCTGTCCGCGATAGCCCCACATTGTGCCACACCAGGCTGTCCGCGATTGCCTCACTTAGACATTGAGGCTGTCCGCATAACCCACCTGGTCACCTACGGCTCTCGTGACCATTAACTACCGTTCACTGTGATCTCACAGTCTGGCTCTCGCCAAAAAACTCCGTTCGGCGCTCCACAATTAACACCCTCAGTGGGGTGGCACGTTACTCATCCTTTAGTGTAAGTACCAGTGCCTGACATGTACTTAGGAAAACTACAGAATACCACCATACACTTTGAGTTGTGCTGCCACCAGATGCCAGTGAACCCTGCACCTGGCCTGTCGCTGGGGCTGGGCGGTAACCGAGACCCAAATGTTCACTCCACAACTAGTTCGGCCCGCCAGCCCAGCCAGTTCGCCTTTCGCCACCACTGCGACTTCTCTTTTCCCGTTTATCTTCCAGGTCGAAAGACGGCCGCGCCCCCTCCGCCTCAAGCCACTGCCAGTGAACCCGCTCTCGTGTCAAGGCCGGCTACGGCAGCCGACACCGACAGCCGTGGCCCTCCCGCCGACGCAGACAGCTCGGTTAGTTCGGACGGTTGCTTCCCGAGACCCAGCCGTCGACCGTCCATCGCAGGCCGCGCCACCGCCGGGCCGGCAAGTCTCCGCCAAACTTCACGGCCTGCAGACCACCCACACCGGAGGCGGTCACCTTCGTCTGAGAACCGCGGCCGCCGCCGACGGAGACGCAGTCCCAGCAGCTCCGGCCTCTCCGAATGGTCCGACTCCGAACCCTCGCGTTCTGCGGGCGAGCCGTCGTCGTCCAGCAGCCCAGACCAACGGAGTCCTAAGCGCCCGCGGACAGGCGGCAGCCGGGGCCACCGCCACAAAATGGACTACCTCCACTTGAACGACATTCCGACGAGATCTCGGCAACCCCCGCCGCCCCGGAGGCTAAAACTGCCGACGGTCAGCGCGGCGGCACTAAAAACGCTGGCGAATCGCGCCAAAGTGGCTTCGGTTGACGCTGTAGTTTTTCCGCACGCCCCATCTACCGACGGCCAGTGCACGCAAGCCATGATGCACAGGTACCCGCCGCTCAGTCCCGCCGCCTACCTCCGTGGTGTAACGATAATAGCCGCCTACAGGACGTACTTCTTCCCTGCCTTGGCCGTCCAATGGACCACATATCTGCTTTGGCTCCAGGGGCAGGCTGGGTCCCTCACTACGAGCGCGCTGAAGGACCTCGATGAGAGGGCACGAACACACATCGCGACTTACAGGGATGATTACCATGATGCCGCCTCCCTCAGCGACAGCATGGGCCTCGCGGCGCAGTTCATCGCCTCACCGCCCATCGCTACAAGACCGGTGGCAGTGGCGCCGGTGGTCATGGCCCCGCCCCGTCCAGGTCAAGCGGACCCCCCAAACGAGGTGTGCCTCCGTTTCAACAACGGGCGCTGCGCGGGCGGAGGCACCTGCTGGAGGCAGCACGTCTGCAGGATGTGCAGGGGCCCCCACCCAGCGCGCCAATGCCCGTCCTCGGTGCCGGGCCTGCCCCGACAGGCTCCAGCTATGCTGACCATGACAACCCAGCGAGGCCGGCCCCAGCGCCCTCGTGGGCATTAACACCCGAACCGGTGAGAGCCCGAGCGTCCCACCGTGGTGGCCCCGTAGTCGACCCGGGCGGGGCCCCTCCCCCCTCCACCCCCATTGATGTCTCGGCCCTACGACGCCTGGCCAACCCGGCCGCACCGCCCGACCTCCTACACACTGTCCTGCACCGCCTCGAACACGGTGCCGACATTGGCTACACCGGACCAGCTCAGTCCTCTTCACGTCCCAATAACGCGTCTGCCCGTGCTCGGCCGGACGCCGTAACGGCCGCCATACGGACCGAAGTGGCCCGCGGCCACACCGTTGGCCCTTTCAAACAGCCACCCATGACCCCGTTCCACTGCAACCCCCTGGGGGCCAGAGAGAAGCCGGACGGGTCTATCCGCCTCATACTTGATCTTTCACAGCCGGACGGCCACAGTGTCAACTCCCACATTGACCGGTCCGAGTTCACTGTCCAATACACAACCATAGACCAGGCCATTCTTCACATCTTTTCCCTCGGCCCAAACAAAACACTGCTCGCAAAGGCAGACCTCCAGCACGCCTTCCGTCTCATCCCGGTCCACCCCACTCAGCGGTGGCTGCTCGGCTTCCGATGGAACGAGCAGTTCTATTATGACGTGCGGCTGCCGTTCGGGCTGCGGTCCGCATGCAGCCTTTTCACCGACCTCGCCGATATCCTCACACTGACCACACGGTTCCATGCACGCCACCAACACGTGCACCACTATCTGGATGATTTCTTTTTCATTGGTCCAGCCGACACAGATGCCTGTCGGCGCGCCTATCGCACATTCCTGTCCATCTGCGAGCACTGCGATATCCCACTCTCCCCAGCAAAGTGCAGCCCTCCCTCCACCCGTATGGAACTCCTGGGCTGCGTGCTCGACACGGCCGACATGACCATCTCTCTACCACTGGCCAAGCTCCGCGCGCTGATCGCCCTCCTCAGAGAGACCCGGTCTACCCGTACAATCCGTCAGAGACAGCTTCTGAGTCTCATCGGAAAACTAGTCCACGCCACCAAATGTATCCCAGCTGGCCGGAGCTTCTTCCGGCGACTGCTGGACACGGCACACACTGTCCGCCGCCCGCACCACTGGGTCACCATCACCCAGGGCACGAAACGGGACATAAACTGGTGGCTGTCCGTGCTTCCGGAGTGGAACGGCACCGCACCTCTCATACACCCCACCTGGACACCCCCTGCAGACCTCCACCTGTACACAGACGCCTCCACCCTGGGTTTTGGCGGCTGCTGCGACGGCGCTTGGTTCTCCCAAGCCTGGCCTGCCGCAACCAAGGCGTGGGCCAACAGCATCTCCTGGCTCGAAATGATCCCCATCCTGGCGGCGTGCCTCCTCTGGGGTCACCGCTGGACTGGGCTGAGCGTGCTCATGCACTGCGACAACACGGGTGTTGTCTGCGCCTGGGAAAAGGGCTGGTCCCGAGACCGCCGCCTCATGTCGCTCGTCCGGCAGACACTGTTCACGGCGGCCCAACACTCATTTGCCTTGCGCGTCTCGCACATCCCGGGGATCGACAACTCTGCCGCTGACGCTCTCTCCCGGTTGCAGATCAGCCGGTTTCGGGCTATCAACCCGACGGCGGCCGCGTCGGCCACTCCGCTTCCGCCGGCCCTCACGGCGTTCCTCGGGCGCCCGACGGAGGCGTGTACCACGGCCTCCGGCTTCCAGATTTAGACGCGGCGGCACGGCGCCTCCTGCGCGCGGCACTCGCTCCGGCCACCCGGCGCGTCTACCGCCGGGCTACTACCGCCTTCCGCCGTTTCTGCGCCGCGCATGCGCTCCGCCCCCTGCCCGCCACCGAGCGCACAGTGCTACGCTACATCGCCCATATGAGTCTCACCGGTGCCTCCCACACCACGGTCTCTGCCCATCTGGCCGGCCTCCGCCATTGGCACATCGCCAAGGGGCAGCCGTGGCACGGCAGGACGGAGCGCATCCGCCTGGCTCTGCGCGCCGTGGCCAAGTCTCCCCGCCCCCCACGACCCTCCCGTCTCCCCATCACCGTCCCCCTTCTGCTACGGCTTCGTCGTCGCCTTCGGCGAGAACCGCTGCCAGCCACCGACCGCCGGGCTGCCTGGGCGGCCGTCACCTTGGGTTTTTTCGGCGCTCTCCGGGGCAGCGAGTACCTTGCCCCGGGGACGGCGCGCTACTCCCGCCGCCGCACCTGCCTCAGACAACATGTGACCCTGAAGACTGACTCCCTCACCCTGCACCTGCCGGCGTCAAAAACCGATCAGACCGGTCGCGGAGCCGACATCACGTTGCCGCGCCTGGAGGGCCCCGCCTGTCCCCTCCGTGCCATGCGTGCCTACCTCGCCTCGACCTCGCATCTCCCTGGCCACGTGCCGCTCTTTGTCCTGGAATCAGGCTCCTATGCCACCATCCCCTGGCTGAACGGTGTCTTCCGGCGCTACCTGCCGTCGCCCGCTGGGAGATTCTCCACTCACAGCCTCCGCATCGGTTTCGCCACTGCCGCCGCCGCCGCGGGGGCCACCGACAACACCATCAGGGCGTCGGGCCGCTGGCAGGGCTCGTCGCATGTGCGATACATCCAGGGCCCGCGCCGCGACGTCTGGCGTGCCTGCCTCGCTGTGAATGCGACCTCCGGACGATAGCCTTACGGGCTAGATACTTCCTTGCCCCGCCCAGAAATACATTGGCCGTCATACTCCGTCTTGCTTTTGGCGGTCCTTTGGTGTCTTTCAGCTACGCAAGAAGGAATCGGCAGACACAGACACCTGAGCGAGCGAGAAGGGGAAGTCGAGACCGTGTTTCCGCCAAAAAAAGAGAAAACAACCAAGGTAGGTGGTAGGTAACTACACCTGCGCTATCTACATCAGCTGCCCGCATGACACTAATGGGACCGTATTAGCGCCGGCGAAAATCACGGGACATTAGTGAAAGGGCAGACTGCGGCGACCCCTAGGTTGATGAACAGCTAGGGAGAACAACATTCGACAGATGGCAGCACTAGACGAGATAATCAGGCAATACTTTAATATTAATGGGAAAGGAAATAATGCCAATGTTTTGCCCTCACCAAGCATGTTACAACGACAATGGAATTATTAGGTATAATAAATATGTGAGTAGCAAATCCAACAAAAAACAAAATCCGTGAAAGAAAGGCAACGCTGGAAAACATCACCATAGTTTTCCGACGCCGAAAGAGTTCCTGCACACCGGCATCAGCGAGAGAAAAAACCTAGGATCCTAACAGACCCGCCCACCACCCCACCATCACCACATTCCTTCCCCAGTCTCCTTCCCCTCCGCTCGGTGTCTTTCAGCTAGGCAAGAAGGAATCGGCAGACACAGACACCTGAGCGAGCGAGAAGGGGAAGTCGAGACCGTGTTTCCGCCAAAAAAAGAGAAAACAACCAAGGTAGGTGGTAGGTAACTACACCTGCGCTATCTACATCAGCTGCCCGCATGACACTAACTCTCATTAACATCATCCAGTGTTCTTCTTTGCTGATGCTAGCTAACAGCCATTAAATAATAACCACATGCAGAGACTGAGACACTGGCAAATGCAGGGAAGGGGCCAGGGGGACATTTGGAGAAAATGCCCCTCATGCCTCATGACATCCAAAATTGACAAAAATTTGCAGCTTTATATAGTACAAGATAAACAACTTTTATTACAAAAAGTTTGGTTTGTGTTAGGTAAACTGATCAGCAGTGTGTAGGTAATAAATCTAGATCCAGAGATTTAGGAAATTGGAGAAACTAGTTTGGGGTACCTATGTCTCCACAGCATCCAGGAGTGCCTTTCTGGATTCACCAGTGTGCACTGTGCAGAGATCTTTTTTTAACAACTGCAATAACAACTTTTTTTTTAGAAAAAGATTCAAGCCAAGATGCTCCTGTTAACCTGTTTTGGAAACAGTTTTGATGTAATTATACTATAGTTCATTTATTTTAAGTTTGCCCCTCACTGTAAACGTCTTTTTGAACACCGCATGAGAATTGCTAGCTGAGTTACTGAGGAAGCTGGTTGGCGCATATTGATTTCACCAGATTTCACAGATGATCAATTTCATCAAATTTGTTTATCATTTCACACTCATAGCTCGTATTTGCCCATACCTACAACTCCACAGTGAAAGACGACTTCTCAGGAATTATTTCTGAACTAATTAATAAATTGCACAGCATTTAACATTAACGTTACATCATCAGTGTTCAAAACTTATTTTGAAAATATTATTCATATCTCCAATACAATGTGCACCAACCAGTTTTCTCAGTAATTCAGCTAGCAATTCTCTTGCTGTTTTGAAACTGAAAGAGACGTTAACAGTGAGGGGCAAACTTAAAATAAGCTAACTGCAGTACGGTCTAAGGTATTTGGGCTTTTACCGCCCCATAAGCCATACAGGGCTCAAAACGTCTCACAACTGTCTCTTACAACGACCAAATAACAGCACAAATATTGCAAACTGATGATGATAAAAGTTCAAACACCACAAAAATGGTTTACATGAAATTTTCGATGGAAAACACACTGCAGCCCCCCTTCCACTCTCTTTTTTCGTCGATAAGCCGCGCCGCAAATACCCAGTAAATACCCGTGCTGTTCGTTCGAGGTAAACTTTTAACAGCATGCTGCAGTTTCTTGGCTTTTCATTGGTGACGCTATCATTGGTGACGCTAATCACCAACGAGATGCCGATATTTGCTGGCGTCTAGCTTCCATATATGGCAAATTCGGCAGAGTGATCCAAGGCCGTATGAGTGATCATAAAGTGAACACTAAACAAAGGCTGCTCAGTTTCAGCTATTTTGAAAAAAATAACATTTCAATGACGTCTTGAGCTTTTATCTATGTTTTATTTTAATACAAGCCCGTTTGAAGCTATTCTATGTTTCTATTGTAAATTTACAAATGTCCGTGAAGTTAGCGTCAGCAACAGCAACGAATACAGCGTCGGATTCAGAATCGCTTCAAAAACTCCTAGCAGGTCAATTGGGGGACGGGGAGCAAGAATATGACATTTATTTTGCCCTAGCTCCCTTCCTTCATCCCTTAATTGTCCCTTAAAGGACGGGGCGCGTCAAAAGTGCCCCAAGGCTTCGTCTGATCGCCAAAATAATGGTCGCAATCGATTCCTCGGGTCAATATCTAACCTCAGTCGAAGGTTCCAGACCTGTGCCTCCTATCCTTCATCCCTTAATCCTCCCTTAAAGGACGGGGCGCGTCAAAAGTGCCCCAAGGCTTCGTCTGATCGCCAAAATAATGGTCGCAATCGATTCCTCGGGTCAATATCTAACCTCAGTCGAAGGTTTTATACCTGTGCCTCCTATCCTTCATCCCTTAATCCTCCCTTAAAGGACGGGGCGCGTCAAAAGTGCCCCAAGGCTTCGTCTGATCGCCAAAATAATGGTCGCAATCGATTCCTCGGGTCAATATCTAACCTCAGTCGAAGGTTCCAGACCTGTGCCTCCTATCCTTCATCCCTTAATCCTCCCTTAAAGGACGGGGCGCGTCAAAAGTGCCCCAAGGCTTCGTCTGATCGCCAAAATAATGGTCGCAATCGATTTCTCGGGTCAATATCTAACCTCAGTCGAAGGTTCCAGACCTGTGCCTCCTATCCTTCATACCTTAAAACTCCCTTAAAGGACGGGGCGCGTCAAAAGTGCCCCAAGGCTTCGTCTGATGGCCAAAATAATGGTCGCAATCGATTCCTCGTGTCAATATCTAACCTCAGTCGTAGGTTCCAGACCTGTGCCTCCTATCCTTCATCCCTTAATCCTCCCTTAAAGGACGGGGCGCGTCAAAAGTGCCCCAAGGCTTCGTCTGATCGCCAAAATAATGGTCGCAATCGATTCCTCGGGTCAATATCTAATCTCAGTCGAGGGTTCCAGACCTGTGCCTCCTATCCTTCATCCCTTAATCCTCCCTTAAAGGACGGGGCGCGTCAAAAGTGCCCCAAGGCTTCGTCTGATCGCCAAAATAATGGTCGCAATCGATTTCTCGGGTCAATATCTAACCTCAGTCGAAGGTTCCAGACCTGTGCCTCCTATCCTTCATCCCTTAATCCTCCCTTAAAGGACGGGGCGCGTCAAAAGTGCCCCAAGGCTTCGTCTGATCGCCAAAATAATGGTCGCAATCGATTCCTCGGGTCAATATCTAACCTCAGTTGAAGGTTCCAGACCTGTGCCTCCTATCCTTCATCCCTTAATCCTCCCTTAAAGGACGGGGCGCGTCAAAAGTGCCCCAAGGCTTCGTCTGATCGCCAAAATAATGGTCGCAATCGATTCCTCGGGTCAATATCTAACCTCAGTCGAAGGTTCCAGACCTGTGCCTCCTATTCTTCATCCCTTAATCCTCCCTTAAAGGACGGGGCGCGTCAAAAGTGCCCCAAGGCTTCGTCTGATCGCCAAAATAATGGTCGCAATCGATTCCTCGGTTATATATCTAACCTCAGTCGAAGGTTCCAGACCTGTGCCTCCTATCCTTCATCCCTTAATCCTCCCTTAAAGGACGGGGCGCGTCAAAAGTGCCCCAAGGCTTCGTCTGATCGCTAAAACAATGGTCGCAATCGATTCCTCGTGTCAATATCTAACCTCAGTCGAAGGTTTCAGACCTGTGCCTCCTATCCTTCATCCCTTAATCCTCCCTTAAAGGACGGGGCGCGTCAAAAGTGCCCCAAGGCTTCGTCTGATCGCCAAAATAATGGTCGCAATCGATTCCTCGGGTCAATATCTAACCTCAGTCGAAGGTTCCAGACCTGTGCCTCCTATCCTTCATCCCTTAATCCTCCCTTAAAGGACTGGGCGCGTCAAAAGTGCCCCAAGGCTTCGTCTGATCGCCAAAATAATGGTTGCAATCGATTCTTCGGGTCAATATCTAGCCTCAGTCGAAGTTTTCAGACCTGTGGCTCCTATCCTTCATCCCTTAATCGTCCCTTTAAGGACGGGGCGCGTCAAAAGTGCCCCAAGGCTTCATCTGATCGCCAAAATAATGGTCGCAATCGATTCCTCGGGTCAATATCTAACCTCAGTCGAAGGTTCCAGACCTGTGCCTCCTATCCTTCATCCCTTAATCCTCCCTTAAAGGACGGGGCGCGTCAAAAGTGCCCCAAGGCTTCGTCTGATCGCCAAAATAATGGTCGCAATCGATTCCTCGGGTCAATATCTAACCTCAGTCGAAGGTTCCAGACCTGTGCCTCCTATCCTTCATTCCTTAATCCTCCCTTAAAGGACAGGGCGCGTCAAAAGTGCCCCAAGGCTTCGTCTGATCGCCAAAATACAGGTCGCAATCGATTCCTCGGGTCAATATCTAACCTCAGTCGAAGGTTCCAGACCTGTGCCTCCTATCCTTCATCCCTTAATCCTCCCTTAAAGGACGGGGCGCGTCAAAAGTGCCCCAAGGCTTCGTCTGATCGCCAAAATAATGGTCGCAATCGAATCCTCAGGTCAATATCTAACCTCAGTCGAAGGTTCCAGACCTGTGCCTCCTATCCTTCATCCCTTAATCCTCCCATAAAGGACTGGGCGCGTCAAAAGTGCCCCAAGGCTTCGTCTGATCGCCAAAATAATGGTCGCAATCGATTCCTCGGGTCAATATCTAACCTCAGTCGAAGGTTCCAGACCTGTGCCTCCTATCCTTCATCCCTTAATCCTCCCTTAAAGGACGGGGCGCGTCAAAAGTGCCCCAAGGCTTCGTCTGATCGCCAGAATAATGGTCGCAATCGATTCCTCGTGTCAATATCTAACCTCAGTCGAAGGTTCCAGACCTGTGCCTCCTATCCTTCATTCCTTAATCCTCCCTTAAAGGACGGGGCGCGTCAAAAGTGCCCCAAGGCTTCGTCTGATCGCCAAAATAATGGTCGCAAACGATTCCTCGGGTCAATATCTAACCTCAGTCGAAGGTTCCAGACCTGTGCCTCCTATCCTTCATCCCTTAATCCTCCCTTAAAGGACGGGGCGCGTCAAAAGTAACCCAAGGCTTCGTCTGATCGCCAAAATAATGGTCGCAATCGATTCCTCGGGTCAATATCTAACCTCAGTCGAAGGTTCCAGACCTGTGCCTCCTATCCTTCATCCCTTAATCCTCCCTTAAAGGACGGGGCGCGTCAAAAGTGCCCCAAGGCTTCGTCTGATCGCCAAAATAATGGTCGCAATCGATTCCTCGGGTCAATATCTAACCTCAGTCGAAGGTTCCAGACCTGTGCCTCCTATCCTTCATCCCTTAATCGTCCCTTTAATGATGGGGCGCGTCAAAAGTGCCCCAAGGCTTCGTCTGATCGCCAAAATCATGGTCGCAATCGATTTCGCGGGTCAATATCTAACCTCAGTCGAGGATTCCAGACTTATGGCTCCTATCCCTCATCCCTTAATCGTCCCTCAAAGGACGGGGCGCGTCTAAAGTCCCTCAAGGCTTCGTCTGATCGCCAAAATAATGGTCGCGGACGTCTGATTTTGGCGATCAGACGAAGCCTTGGGGCACTTTTGACGCACCCCGTCCTTTAAGGGACGATTAAGGGATGAAGGATAGGAGGCACAGGTCTGGAATCTTCGACTGAGGTTAGATATTGACCCGAGGAATCGATCGCAAGCATTATTTTGGCGATCAGACGAAGCCTTGGGGCACTTTTGACGCGCCCCGTCCTTTAAGGGACGATTAAGGGATGAAGGATAGGAGGCACAGGTCTGTAACCTTCGACTGAGGTTAGATATTGACCCGAGGAATCGATTGCGACCATTATTTAGGCGATCAGACGAAGCCTTAGGGCACTTTTGACGCGCCCCGTCCTTTAACGGAGGATTAAGGGATGAAGGATAGGAGGCACAGGTCTGGAATCTTCGACTGAGGTTAGATATTGACCCGAGGAATCGATTGCGACCATTATTTTGGCGATCAGACTAAGCCTTGGGGCACTTTTGACGCGCCCCGTCCTTTAAGGGAGTATTAAGTAATGAAGGATAGGAGGCACAGGTCTGGAACCTTCGACTGAAGTTAGATATTGACCCGAGGAATCGATTGCGACCATTATTTTGGCGATCAGACGAAGCCTTGGGGCACTTTTGACGCGCCCCGTCCTTTAAGGGAGGATTAAGGGATGAATAATAGGAGGCACAGGTCTGGAACCTTCGACTGAGGTTAGATATTGACCCGAGGAATCGATTGCGACCATTATTCTGGCGATCAGACGAAGCCTTGGGGCTTTTTTGACGCGCCCCGTCCTTTAAGGGAGGATTAAGGGATGAAGGATAGGAGGCACAGGTCTGGAACCTTCGACTGAGGTTAGATATTGACCCGAGGAATCGATTGCGACCATTATTTTGGCGATCAGACGAAGCCTTGGGGCACTTTTGACGCGCCCCGTCCTTTAAGGGAGGATTAAGGGATGAAGGATAGGAGGCACAGGTCTGGAACCTTCGACTGAGGTTAGATATTGACCCGAGGAATCGATTGCGTATTTTGGCGATCAGACGAAGCCTTGGGGCACTTTTGACGCGCCCCGTCCTTTAAGGGAGGATTAAGGGATGAAGGATAGGAGGCACAGGTCTGGAACCTTCGACTGAGGTTAGATATTGACCCGAGGAATCGATTGCGTTCATTATTTTGGCGATCAGACGAAGCCTTGGGGCACTTTTGACGCGCCCCGTCCTTTAAGGGAGGATTAAGGAATGAAGGACAGGAGGCACAGGTCTGGAACCTTCGACTGAGGTTAGATATTGACCCGAGGAATCGATTGCGACCATTATTTTGGCGATCAGACGAAGCCTTGGGGCACTTTTGACGCGCCCCGTCCTTTAAGGGAGGATTAAGGGATGAAGGATAGGAGGCACAGGTCTGGAACCTTCGACTGAGGTTAGATATTGACCCGAGGAATCGATTGCGACCATTATTTTGGCGATCAGACGAAGCCTTGGGTTACTTTTGACGCGCCCCGTCCTTTAAGGGAGGATTAAGGGATGAAGGATAGGAGGCACAGGTCTGGAACCTTCGACTGAGGTTAGATATTGACCCGAGGAATCGATTGCGACCATTATTTTGGCGATCAGACGAAGCCTTGGGGCACTTTTGACGCGCCCCGTCCTTTAAGGGAGGATTAAGGGATGAAGGATAGGAGGCACAGGTCTGGAACCCTCGACTGAGGTTAGATATTGACCCGAGGAATCGATTTCGACCATTATTTTGGCGATCAGACGAAGCCTTGGGGCACTTTTGACGCGCCCCGTCCTTTAAGGGAGGATTAAGGGATGAAGGATAGGAGGCACAGGTCTGGAACCTTCGACTGAGGTTAGATATTGACCCGAGGAATCGATTGCGACCATTATTTTGGCGATCAGACGAAGCCTTGGGGCACTTTTGACGCGCCCCGTCCTTTAAGGGAGGATTAAGGGATGAAGGATAGGAGGCACAGGTCTGGAACCTTCGACTGAGGTTAGATATTGACCCGAGGAATCGATTGCGACCATTATTTTGGCGATCAGACGAAGCCTTGGGGCACATTTGACGCGCCCCGTCCTTTAAGGGAGGATTAAGGGATGAAGGATAGGAGGCACAGGTCTGGAACCTTCGACTGAGGTTAGATATTGACCCGAGGAATTGGTTGCGACCATTATCTTGGCGATCAGACGAAGCCTTGGGGCACTTTTGACGCGCCCCGTTCTTTAAGGGAGGATTAAGGGATGAAGGATAGGAGGCACAGGTCTGGAACCTACGACTGAGGTTAGATATTGACACGAGGAATCGATTGCGACCATTATTTTGGCCATCAGACGAAGCCTTGGGGCACTTTTGACGCGCCCCGTCCTTTAAGGGAGTATTAAGGGATGAAGGATAGGAGGCACAGGTCTGGAACCTTCGACTGAGGTTAGATATTGACCCGAGGAATCGATTGCGACCATTATTTTGGCTATCAGACGAAGCCTTGGGGCACTTTTGACGCGTCCCGTCCTTTAAGGGAGGATTAAGGGATGAAGGATAGGAGGCACAGGTCTGGAACCTTCGACTGAGGTTAGATATTGACCCGAGGAATCGATTGCGACCATTATTTTGGCGATCAGACGAAGCCTTGGGGCACTTTTGACGCGCCCCGTCCTTTAAGGGAGGATTAAGGGATGAAGGATAGGAGGCACAGGTCTGGAACTTTCGACTGAGGTTAGATATTGACCCGAGGAATCGATTGCGACCATTATTTTGGCGATCAGACGAAGCTTTGGGGCACTTTTGACGCGCCCCGTCCTTTAAGGGACAATTAAGGGATGAAGGAAGGGAGCTAGGGCAAAATAAATGTCATATTCTTGCTCCCCGTCCCCCAATTGACCTGCTAGGAGTTTTTGAAGCGATTCTGAATCCGACGCTGTATTCGTTGCTGTTGCTGACGCTAACTTCACGGACATAATTTACAACTCTTTCTATTGAAAAATTGCACTTGTCTTGAAAAATCACTTTTCAATGCTTTTTGAGCCTTAAATCTTCAGTATAAATATCATAAGCGAGTCATTATTTTGTTTATCTATGACGTCACTGACTACCGAGCTGAGGATATTGAACAAAACAGTAGGGTGAAGCAGAATTAGTGACGAAGACGGCGCAGTAGGTTCGGGAGTGGGGATGCTAGGTAATTTTTTTATGATTTTCGGCGAATTTGTATTAGTTATATTTTATGATACCGTCCTTAAATGCTGGCAATGAAGTGCTCTTTCGTATTATATACGAATTTCAGGTCATTCAAAGGTTTAAGTTGCATTTTCTGTAATAATACCACCCGCCTTGAAGACCGGGGCGACTTTTTACAACATGTCAGTAGGTGGAACTATGGTCATGAGTACCCAAATATAGGAACGTTCCCATTTTTGGGGACGGAGTTCCCAAATATGGGAACGGGCGTTCCCATTTATGAGAACGGAAGGTAATTTTTCGGCCGTTCGCCCACTAAAACTCATTAGTGCATCACGTCTCAAAAAAGTGCACGCTAATTTAAGTATCTACTAAGTCTCTATAAAATTATCTTTAATCTGACCGTTGAACAAGGAAATTGACCGTCGAATGATATTTTTAATGATTTTTTGAAATGACGGAATGGTGAAAACATGGGTCATACTACATTTAACTTGCAATTTTAAGGAAAATGAAGCGTTTTTTACATTTTGAGGTCAAGTATAATAATTTTCGCCTGGTTATGAAGTTTCATACTAGCGACACCAGATGCTGACATATGCAAGCGAACACGCGGACAGTCCCGGGGTAATATTGTTGACATTTGGTGTCGGGGCGCACAACCGCGTGGAACGTCAGTGATTTTACCGAACTACTGTTGTAAACTCAGTTTCAGTGGTTTAAAATTATTCAGCTGTATTTTATCATCCCGGAAAGACATATTTTATTTGGATGCTAGCTGTTTAGAGTCGTTTTATAAGGAGCGTCATGAGCGTGGTTTTTGTCTTCCGTGTTTCTAAGCGTGATCGTTTTGGGGGAATTTCTCTTATATAGGTCGCTCTGTGTGGCTTATTTATAATTTTTATGCTGATTTCGATCATTCCTCGTGCCCATCCTACCGGCCTTTTGCCACTTACACTCATCAAGAAAGGAAAAAACTAGATTTTCATTGGGACTAGGTGTTTTGAGGGTGTAACATATTCAGCGTTCCCATTTTTGGATACTTCCTTGTGCTCGTCAACTATCGGTGATAAACAGACAGGTGCTTGACATGTCTCCACCCTCGGCGCGGACGGTGGATATAGGTATGGAAGACCTTGTTGAACATCGCTGAGCGTTGTGAATTACGTAATCCTGCAGAGGGGGGCGTGCCCGCTGCGAGATCGACGGGAATAAAAGCGCAGAAGACCGGGCGAAACATGCGACGGTCTTGCCGGAAAGGTCATCTGATGATTGTTGCGTTAACAATAATTGGCGGCGTTGGACGTGATGCTTGTTAATGAAAAGAGCCCCTGAAAGGCGTCGGTGAAATCGTTCCCAATTTTGGGGTACGCCGTTCCCATAATAAGGAACGCTTGCAGCGCCAGTGTACGAGAGCGTTCCCAAATTTGGGCTCGCGGCCCGGATGATGGACTGCTTTAGAAGTAGGGGAACGATTTGAAACTACGATGGGCCTTACAATATCAAACTTTCCCAACAATATTGAGACACATATCAGGCTGTTCACGATCGTTTTATATTTTTTGGACGTCATTTAACGGTTCTTTTTCTTGTTTTAAATAATGCCTACATGGCGTTCCCATATTTGGGTTTATCGTTCCCAAACATGGGAACGAAAATGCGTTCCCGAAAATGGGTACGCTTGACCATAGTTCCGCCTACTGATGTACAGAAAAGATATATGATAAAGTGTGCAGAAAACAGCGGCACTGTGCACCACAATTTTTGAGAATTTTGCAAAAAAAATGAGGGGGAGTGGGAGTAAAAACACCGATCAGCATGGCACAGGTTTAAAGCCAAACATCCCGTAATCTTGCCTGTTTTTAAAGGAAGTAGCTCACTTTTAACATGGGGTTTTGAACTGGAATATCAGTTGCGTAGCTTGAGCTGAGACAAGCACAAATCAGGAGCTTTTACGGCCCAACGATCACCCTAGGTAAAGATATTCCATTTCTCGTCCTAAAAAAGTTGTCTTGCTGAGGAATGTCAATGTGTGCCTTGCAGGGGTTATTTCCCTCTTTTAAAACTGAAAAGTTCTTCCTTTATTAAAATAAAGAAAATAATATTGTTCATGAATGGGTTTTATTTTCTTTGCTGATCATTTTGAGCATAAAAATCATAATTCCATCGCAAAAAAAACTAATTTCGTGAAGACTCTAGCATTATTCTTTACCGCAAATTAGTAATACGAATGAAACTAGAAATATGAAAACGTGCCTTAAATTCCATCAGTCCTAGACCTGTTGAATTAGATCAGTGCGACAAAAAACAATTTTATTCTCAAGATCTCAAAATCTGTGCATCCTAGCTCCATGAGCCCAAGGTGGCCAATAGCGTGCAAAGGGATACAAGGTAGTCAGTGCAAAGTGCAGAGGATAGCAGCTGCGATTCAGCCGGGAAGGCTGGTGGTCCGTTTTCAGCCGGAAAGGCTGCCGGCTGGTGGTCCATTTTCCCCAGTGGGCTGTCTTACCCCACTTTCCCCTATACAGAACCAATATAGAAGAACGAGCGTATCCCTCTATGCGTCCTTGACATCCATTTTTGTGACTGCGTTTCAGGTTGAGATCCATGAGATTAACTGGCAGATTAAAAGGATTGTAAGTTGTTTCAGTTTCAAGCGTCTACATACACTTGAACAAGTGATTACCAGCTATTCAGTTGTCTTGAAGCGGAGGCAAGATGCCTGAGAAAGATGAGCCGTTCGCCAACCCGGCGGCACCGCCGGGGGCCGCCCAGCGTGTCAACGTGGAGGCGACGCCGGCCAGGCTGACCAATGCAGACTTCCGGAAGCTGTTGATGACTCCCCGCGCGGGGCAGTCCGGTGCCTCGGCGGCCACACCGTCCGCCACACCGGCCTCCACCCGACCTGAGGTCTCCGGCAAAATCGACAAAGCCGAGGAGCGCCGCAAAAAGAAGAGCTACTACGCCAAGCTGAAGCGGGCCGAGGACGACATCATGGCGGAGCTGGCCAAGAAGTACCGCGACCGAGCCAAAGAGCGGCGAGACGGGGACGAGACGCCGGCGCCGGGCGCGCAGCCCGACCTGCCCAGCCAGCCGGACGAGTCGAACAGTACTGCCAGCGCCTACCGCGCCGTGGCTCCCGATCTCAAATCGGGACTGGACGCTGCGGAGAGACGCCGCCAGCAGATCCAGGAGTCCAAGTTCTTGGGAGGTGACATGGAGCACACTCACTTGGTGAAGGGTCTCGATTACGCCCTCCTGCAGAAGGTGCGCTCCGAGATCCAGGCCATGGAGCTGGAGCACGAGGACGAGCTCGAGCAGCTGGCGGACGGCGCCGACGTCAGCGCCAAGGAGCACACCAAGGAGGAAGAGATCCACTTCAAAACCAAACTCGGCAAAAACGTGTACCGGGTGCTGTTCGGTGACAAGCCTCCGCTGAGGAACGAGCTGTTCCTGCCCGGCCGGACCGCTTACAGAATTGACCTGGAGGACGAGATGGTCGACTTTGACATCCCGACTACGGTGGTGCGCAGCAAAGCCGACTGTCCGCTGGTGGAGACGGCCACAACTCTCACAACCAACGACATCGTCATCAACAAGCTGACCCAGATCCTGTCCTACCTGCGGCAGGGTCGACACGGCCGCCGAATCAAGAAGAAGGACAAACAGCGGGCTGACGAGAAGAAGGCCGCTGGCGAGGACATCTACGCCGAGCTGGGCGACTACGTGCCGGCGCCGGCCGGCAGGGATCACCACCGCGCCAGTGACTCCCGCCGGGGGGACGGCGACCGCCAGCGGAAGCCGCGCTCCTACTTTGACCGACCAGAGGAGGAGGACCGCCGCGAGCGGGGTGAACGCTACGGCCGGGAGAGGCGGGAGAAGGAGCGTGACGAGCAGCAACAGCGCGACAAGGAGCAGGCCGAACGCGACCAGCGCGACCGCCAGAGGTTTGAGCAGGAGAAGGGACGCGAATCCAACTGGCTGGCCGTGGACGCGGCGGCGGCAGCCAAGCGCAACAAGGACATGGGCACGGCGCTGAGCGGCTACGCCGAGTGCTACCCGGGACTGGACGAGATGGCCGACGCCATCGACGACTCGGATGATGAGGCCGACTACTCCAAAATGGACATGGGCAACAAGAAGGGCCCCATCGGTCGCTGGGACTTTGACACGCAGGAGGAGTACAGCAACTACATGAACCAAAAGGAGGCGCTGCCCAAGGCCGCCTTCCAGTACGGTGTCAAGATGGCCGACGGACGCAAGACACGTCGGCTGCCCAAGGAGCGAAACGAGAAGGCCGAGCTTGATCGCGAGTGGCAAAAGATATCGGCCATCATCGCCAAACGCAAATCGGGCGGCGACGACGGAGGAGAGAAGAGCAAGAGGGCCAAGCAGCAGTAATGGCTGCGCGCTGCGTGTTGCGGTGTAAGCGGCAGTGAGTGGCGTTCAGCGCGCGGCATCAGTGGCCGCAGGTCACGCGGTCACTGTACCGATCATACCGCCGGCAGTAGCTAGCTCCTCACGGACGCCAAAGTGCGATGCGCCTGAACAGACTGCACTCGGTTAGTGGGCGTGTGCGTGCGTTCTCCGTCACGCGACAAGGGATGCTGTTGTGGAGTGACTTACCCCGTGAGTTACCCCGGGTACTAGCGGAGTGACTCACCCCTGAGATGTGTTGCGCCATGCCGATCTGGTCTAATTTGTACGTATATGTAATATGTATGTAAATAAAAAACAAGATTTATCGCGTGAGATTGTCGTGTTGAACTGGGTACAATGGGGTCGCATTGCGTTTAATGGTTGGTATATAATTGTTTGCTTTGTCCTTCCCGTCCTGAAAAAGCCTTATGAGGCTTTTTAAAAGCCTTAAAAAGCCCTTTACCATCATCATCAGCATCGTCGTCATCATATCATCACCATCATTATCGTCATCATAATCATTCTTCATAATGCCATTTTATTCAGGTGAAACATCAGGGTGCCTGCCCACAGCGTTGTAAAATTACGTTTATTAAAAATAAGTTATCTTGCCATACAGGTAGGTCACCAAGCAACAAGATAGGCAGCCACACATCCGTCGACTACCGCCAGGCTTAGTTAGTCTAACGGTCACATTCAGTGCTGCTGGCCACGGCCGCCTCTCCAGCTTTCGCTGGCATGATGCTCCGTCTTTTCAACTCATTTTTTTTTAGAACAAGAGCTAGAGACTAGAGAGCCAAAGCTAAATGCCCCTTTTACACAGACAGGTTTTACAGAAAAGCGATCCACTTCAACCGAAAATATCTCAGCGATTTTATGTCGCGCTAAGCGACATTCACTTTTCTTCCTCGAGCATCAATGAAATGAACGAAGGTGCTGCACCAAAAGCGTCGCCTTTCGCTGTAGCCGCTCCTGTGTCCCTGAGGGCCTGCCAGCACTTCAACACCGCCGCCGGCTCACTCCTGACCCTCACGCCTGCTTGTAGATGTTCAGACACCTGGTCAGTCGCTGCCAGTACTCGCTCTTCAGCACGTGCGGCGCATTGCGCTCACAGCCGCCCGGTCCGGCCTTGTGGATCATGGCGAAGTCGGAACACGTCTGACGACCGTCGCCGTTACAGTCGCGGGGATACTTGGCCATGTACTTCCTGATGACGGCCGCGGCGCAGTACGGGTCGCGCGTGCACGACTCGAGCGTCTTGCCCTTGAAGTCGGGTTCGGCGGTGAGCTCAGAGTCCACGAAGTAGGCGTTGCCGATGAGGAAGGGCCCGCAGTAGCCGCTGCTGCAGTCCCTGCTGAGGTCGCACTGGGTGGACGCCTCGCAGATGCAGCCCAGGCACTGCTGGCTGACCAGCTCGGTGGTCTGCTGGGTGCTGAGCTGGACGGCAGCTGCGGCCAGCAGCGCGGTGAAGAGCAGGCGCGGCGCGGACATGGCTGAGACACGGCGGGAGGGACACTGCCGCCCGCCGACCGCGGCCGACTTTGTATCCGCCGCGAGCAGGGCTTCCCAAACACCGGCTGGTGACGTCAGCAACCGGATGGGGCGCCCGGTGCCCTTCTCTGCTCACCTTGCAGCTCCCCGGAGCAGCGCGTCGCCCGCCGCCCCACAGTGTCCCTCCCACCGCGACCGGTCCGGCTGGTGGCTTATAGAGCGGGGCGGCTGGCACATATCCGGGACGGGCGTGGGAGCGCGGCCGCCCACGACAAGCTACCACAACAGCGGTCATCTGTGCCGAAAGTGGGGGACAAGTTTGTACAGGGTGCAACCTCTCATACCTACCTTTTAGAAACACGGAGACCCAGGGGTCAGAACGCAATACGCATGAAGTTAACCCGCGCTGTGCTGGTGGCCTGTGTTTTCCGTGTCGTGCTGGGGGGGGGGGGGGGTCACCCCCCTCTAAGTCGGCTCCTGGGCCACGTCACGATACGCGCGGCAATCGATAGAGCGTCAAAAATAACCCGCGCCCTGGTGTGGGTCTGAGCCACCTTCGCCCTGGTGGGGGGGGGGGCCAAAATGACCCCCCCCGTCTAACTCGAAAACGAAGAGGGCTAGGAAGACGCGGAAAAAAGCAAACGAAAGCCCATAACAAGTACGTTCGAAAGTATTTCGGTCATTTTTTCGCTAAGGTCAATATTGAGGTCGCTAGAGGTCATCATAGGTCAAATTTCAGTGTTTTCGGTGTTGCCGGACATATTCCGCTGTAGCTCGGAAACTAGAAGAGCTAGAGAGCCGCGGAAAAAAGCAATCGATAGCTCTTTTCAAGCTCTTTCGCCAAGGTTCGTCAGATTTGACCTCAGCTCAACGGTTTGGCCTACAGAGGTCATGCAAGGTCAACTTGGCAAATTTCGTTGAAAATGTTTTTAACTATAGCATGCATTCACGAGAAAATAGAGAAACGATTCATGCACCATCGTGCTTGGCTCGTCGAGACGCGTCGAATGATATATAGTTTGACCTCGAAAGGTCATTTTGAAAATTTGACCTCAGGTCAAGGTCATGACCTTACCGAAATAGGTCATGCTGCATATCATTCGATCCGCATTGACGAGACAAACACGATAAACGTCGAACGGAGTCTCTATCTCTATTCAATAACAAGTAAGTGCAGAAAAACCGCTGGTGACCTCTGGTGACCAGGGAGATGACCTAGCGTGACCTCAGCGAGGTCACAAGCAAATGGTTTCACATGGGCTGTGATTTGCTGACCCAAGACACTTCAATAACGAAATATAGGAACAATCACGCCCGATTTAGCTGAAAAACAACTACTTTTCGATTCTCCCATTGACTTATAATGGGGAGCAGCGATGACCTGACCTGACCTTAGGTCACATTTATAAAAAATCCGAGATAGCCATTTTGTAGAGCTGGGTGACATCTTCAAGTACTGTAAATTTTACATCGATCGGATAAAAGCTGTGCCTTTGAGAGAGCTTTGAACTTTTTTAGAGGTGGTGTCAGTTTTGGTGACCTTGTGACCTGACCTGACCTGACCCGAACCCCCCAAAAAAGGACATGATGTAAAAATGTTGAATAAACAGCTATACAAAGTTTCAGGGCGCTACCTCAAGTGGTTTCTGAGTTATCGCTGAAAAACCACAGGGGGGGGCCAAAATGGCCCCCCCCCACCAGGGCGAAGGATAATGACGGTCAACGGTTTAGCCTCCAGAGGGCAAAAACTCTAAAAATAGCCGTTATTACGAACAATGTTTTTCGGTAATAACTCTTGATTCAAGAGAGCCACGACATTACTTTTGCCAGCAATCAGCATCGTGTTCCTCTCGTCGAGACGCGTCGAATGAACTATACCTAAGTTGACCTTGAAAAGTCATTTTGAAAATGTGACCCCAGGTCAAGGTCATGACCTGACCGGAAAGGGTCATGCTGCATATCGGTCGATCCGTATCGTCGAGATGAATGCATCTGGCGTGTTTTTACTGCTCTAGCACGTCTCTTTAAAAAAGTATAGCCAAAAGCTGATGGTGACCGTTCATGACCTGAGAGCCTGAGATGACCTTAGGGGCACACGTAGGGGTTACAGGCGCATTTTTACGATTCAGTAAGTCATATGCACCTATTAACCGATGTTTGAGAGGGTTTTGAACGACATTTGTCCAAAAGAGACGCATTTCAATTTTCTCCCATCAGGAGAGGTCGCACAGTTGGCCTGATCTTAGGTCACAGATATCGAATATCCGAGACGAACATGTTATACATAGGTACTGTTATTGTTATCAATCTCTGAAAGTTTCAAAGTTATCGTTCAGTCGGTGTAGCTATAGCGAGCCTTTGAACGTTTTCTGAGGTAAGGTCACTTGACATGACCTGGTAACCTGACCTTGAGCGACCCGGGTCTGAAATTTTCACAACATGTGTGAAAAAGAGATATGAACAGGTGTACCAAAAAACAGCGGCGCTGCGCCCCGCCGTTTTTGAGATATTTGCGAAAAAACCGAGGGGCCCAGCACGGCGTTGGTTAAATGACGCTTTACAGTTATGAAATACGAATTCAAGTCATTTTAGGATACACGAAGCCTTAGCAGAAAAACGATAAATAATCCCGTCTTCCGTTTGACCGGCTGCAAGAGGTTCTCAATTTCGCAGCTCGGCTGGTCACAGGTCTCCGCCGATACGACCATGTCGGCCCCGCTCTCGCCGCGCTCGGCTGGCCGGACATTCGGGAGATGATCGCGCGTCGTGACGCGCTGAACGTACATATATCGCGCTCTCCACGTTGTTTCAGCGCCCGGCCCCCTGCGTGCGATGTTTCGCCCTCGTGCCGCCGTATCGGAGCGCGAGGCGCGCAGCGCTGCCGCGGGGGTGTCGATACTGGAGCTGCCCCGCTACCGGCTCACCATGGCGAGGCGGCTCTTCCCATATTAGGGCCGCGGTATCGTGGAATGAGCTTCCACGAGATGTCACCTCATGTGCGACTACTATGCATTTCAGACCCCATGAGACCCTGTTTTTCGGCGATAATTTCTTCAATTTTTGTCCAATTAGCTTGAAATTTTGGCAGACGATATTCCAGCTCAAGCGCCAATTTTTGTCAATATGGTCTTTTAACAAAATATCAAAATTTAGAGCACTTGTCGTTGCCTCGTAATGTTAAAATCGGCTCCGTAAATCCGTCAGTGGAGTAGAGGCTATCCGTACGTAGGCGTGACGTCACAAACACGTGACCATTAAGCTCCGCCCTCCCGGCGGACAGGGCGGTGACCTTGGCCGGTCAGTCGGCTGCGTGGAGCGGGCGGGGCAGTAGCTGTCGCACCGGGGCGGCTCGCATGGAACGTAGCTGCCGTGCAGTTGTCGTTGCAGCCGTAACTTCATCGAATGAGCTAAATAGCGCGCATAAGTAACGCACTAGCTGAAGCCCGCCCTCGACTTTGTATTTATCACAAATGTAGGTACGTACGTACACCTTGTTCAGTCACAAAAAATATCTATTTCCACAAAAGATTCCGGGCCTGTGAAAAAAAAACGCTCATAAAAGGCGCTGTTGATTTCAAATGCTTGCGTAAAATTATGTATCGCGTCAGACTACGTCCAAATTGCAAAATAGAATCACCATTAGTAGGATGCAGTTTATGTGTTTGATATATTAAATTTGATTAGGAATGTATGCCGGCGTGATCGATTTATATCATCCCGGTGCAGCATAAGCATTGAACACCTTCAGGAATAATCCATTTTATCATCGACTTAGATTGAGGAGGTCGCCGGACTAACTTTACCCCCAGATCTTATGTGTTGAAATGCAAACATGAAAACTAAAAGCCTAGAGATAGTTACCTCACCATTGAGGACATACCTACTGTTACATAAGTTTAACAAAAAGATACGTGTTTCTTGATGATCGTTCTCGTGAAGTGCGCAACGTCCGCCGGCCACATTCCTACTTCTTTCTGTGCACGTTTTAACAATATAACACACACAACGATAAAGGACAATTCCAATTTCTACCAAACGACACATCACGCTTCTGCCCCACCCGGCGCCCCCCACCGCTTCACGAATCACGAATACGGTCGTCTCGCTGGAGCGATGCCCCAGGCAATCGGCCGTGTCCGAGACTCTTCATCCTACTTTGTTGCTTTCTGCGCTTCCTCAGAAACATTCATTGACGCTGCCAAATATATCAATATTTTTGGATCATGCAGAGGCTTACGCATGATCTTATAGGTAATCGCGTAGTGACCTGACCCAACCTGACGATGAGATAGGTGCAACTCCGGCTTAAATAAATGCTCAGAGTCCAAGAGTTCATCTATCTTTCCTTCTACGGCCGGCTCCGTTCCAATAGATCCTACCTTGATTCTGATCTTTTACGTTTAAATACCAAAATAAGGAAAAGAGGACATCAAATGCCCTCGAACGGATATATTTTTTTGGCTTTCGTCCCGAAACAACTTTGCCAGCTTCACTTGTCTCCAGTATGTGGTCCCGCTGCGATCTCTCCGCGGTGCTGACACCGACTGGAGCGGCATAGACCCATCGCGGTCACGGCCAGTGGGCGGAGTCAAGTTGAGCACGGCGTAACGTGATTGGCCAGCGCTCCTATCCAATCCGGTGCGGCAGCGAGCGAGCCTCTATCCGGGTGCAAAAACTGATTAACATTACGAGCCAACGACAAGTGCTCTAAATTTTGATATTTTGTTAAGAGACCATATTGACAAAAATTGGCGCTTGGGCTGAAACATCGTCTGCCAAAATTTCAAGCTAATTGGACAAAAATTGGAGAAATTATCGCCGAAAAACAGGGTCTCATGGGGTCTGAAATACATAGTAGGCACTCCTTGTGCGGTCATTGTAATGCCTGATTTGACATGTATGAAAGATAGGTATATGTCTCTAGTTTTTATCCTTTTTAATGTTTTTTTTTTACTTCATTGAATTTGTATTAACCCTCGCCGGACCTATTGATTTTCTACATACGCGTCGGCCGAGGGGGGGGGGGGGGCGGGTACGACCCCCCCGCCGTTTCGCCCCTGGTGGAGCTAGAGCGTCGAGGAGAAAACGAGCGTGTGCGCCGTTACGAGACGCAGAGATTGATACCCGATTTTAAGGTCCTAGGTCAACCGGTGACCTCTT